TCCACCCAGAACACCATAATGACATAATGAGAACACCCTAACAATCACATAGCACCGCACTGGCAACAACTCAGAACATCTTAGCAACCATGTAGCAATGTGCTAACAGCCATCCAGAACACTCTAGCAAACACTTAGCAATGTGCTAACAACCAACACTTAGCAATGTGCTAACAACCAACCCGAACACCCTAACAACCACTTTGCAATGTGTTAAAATCCATCCAGAACACCCTAGAAACCACTTTGCAATGTGCTAAAAGCCATCCAGATCACCCTAGCAACCACTTCGCAATGTGCTAAAAGCCATCCAGAACACCCTAGCAACCACTTAGCAATGTGCTAAAAGCCATCCAGAACACCCTAGCAACCACTTTGCAATGTGCTAAAAGCCATCCAGAACACCCAAGCAAACACGTAGCAATGTGCTAAAAGCCACCCACAACACCCTAGCAAACACTTAGCAATGTGCTAACAACCAACCCGAACACCCTAACAACCACTTTGCAATGTGCTAAAAGCCATCCAGAACACCCTAGCAAACACTTAGCAATGTGCTAAAAGCCACCCAGAACACCCAAGCAACTTTATAATCTAAAAATGTATTAAAAATCAATTAGAACACCTTAGCAACTACACAGCAATTTTCTGGCTACCACCCAGAACACCTTAGCAACACCATTACAACATGCTAACAGCCACAAAGCAATGTGCTAACAACCATCTAGAACACCCTAGCAACTGTCTACTGCAGCAATGCACTAACAACCACTTTATCAGCTACATAAATTCCCTGGCTACCACCCAGAACACCCTAGCAACCATGTCCACCTTATTTTTCAACATGCAAGTAAGCTGTTTTCTGTCAATGTGCGAGACTTCCGGTTCATTAGCCACTGTAGGGAAATAACAAGTATAAGAAAGTGCAGTAAACTGTAAAATGGTTCTCAACTCTGGAAGAGTTTCCTGCAGAGTTTAGTCTCTTTATTATTTATTTATTTTTGTTGTTGTTGTTGTAGGACCACTTAGAGATCGAGAGTTCCAGAAGCTTCTGAAGTCCTCCAGCTCTGCCAGTCTCATCAGCGAGGCCTCCCACAATGCCTCAGGAGAGCATGTCGGTACTCCGTCACACCATGGCAGCCAGGTGCTGATCACCGAGAAACGACGTGAGTGAAACCTGTCAAGAGCACACGCAGGTCATATTTCATCCCAGTCAAAACAACTCAAAAGCAGAAGTGACATTTTGTGCAACAAATATATTTTTTATTTATTTATTTTCCATTTTCACTGCAATTAATAAATTGTCCTTAACATTAACAGTGATCTAGATTAATGAATAAAAAAAGTATTTTGATTTTGGGGAGAAATATAAGGTAAACATGTACTTTAGATTCACATAATTATGAAAGCTTAATTAACGCCGACAGACAAGACAGAGCAGGTTACTTCTGGCATGAAACAAGGTCTCAACTTTCAAATTTTCTCATTTTTTAAAAGAGATTCAAACAATAAATAACATTTTGTGGCTCTTTAATGTGTCATGACACATTATTGGCTCAGTTCAAGCGGCACACGTGAACTGACTGTCTTTTCTCTATTTAATTAAAGCATGAAGTAAACATGAATGAACATCAGAACGTATTTTATTTCAACCGTGGAAAGATGTCAATACACAACACTTTTCAAGTTTAAGTCCACCGAAAATTTACGATTTGTTTGTCGGACAAGATGGCGAATTCTGCGTTATAATTGGTCAGATCGCCTGTCAATCAAGCCCTTTGCGAAGTGTCAATTCTGACTTTTTTCTTGCAATTGCAAGTTTATATTTTGAAATTCCCTTCACAAGTCCTTCACAAACACCCGTCCCCTTAGTTACTGTTGCTATGTCCGACAAGCCATGATGCTTTCACGCCATACATCATATTCCAACACAGTGAAAAATACATCGTGGAGCAAAGAGGAAACTGACAACACGCCATCAGACAAGACAGAGCAGGTTACTTCTGGTGTGAAACAAAGTCTTAGCTTTCAAATTTTGTAAGAAATCCAAACATTAAATACCATTTTGTGGCTCTTTAATGTGTTGTGACAGATCTCTGTAGAGCCTCGGTTCAAGCGGCACGTGAACCGATCGTCTTTTTCGTATTTACTTAAAGCATGACATTGACATGAATGAACATCAGAAGGAATTTTATTTCAACCTCAGAAAGACCTCAATGCACACCATCAGACAAAATGGCGGATTCTGCGTTATGATTGGTCAGAACGCCTGTCAATCAAGCTCGCTGCGAAGGGTCAATTCTGACTTTATAACACGGAATTGCAACTTTATATCCTGTAATTCTGACTTTATAACTAACATTTGCGAGTTTATATCCCGCAATTATTTCTCAGAAAGTCACTTAATACTTAATAGCACAGTAAGCACACCCCTTAGTACACAACATGTCTGAGCAAAGAACAATGAAGTCAATTTAAAAATATAATTGAACTGCTCTTAATAGGTCATCTGGTCAAAATAATGTAGTTACATTCTGCAATCTTCTGCATGATCTCAGAGCCTCTCAGCAGTGTGTCCTCTCTGGAGGTACACTTTGACCTCCTGGACCTGACGGAGCTCACAGACATGTCTGACCAGGAGCTGGGGGAGGTGTTTGCTGATTCAGATGAGGAGAATCATATAGAATCCCCAGCAAGTGAGTCAGCTCTCAGACTTATATAGTTTTTTGTTTTCCATACCAGGGAGCTTTAAAGTGAAATCAATCCAGTCCTCAAACATATTCTTCAGAATCTCATTTAAAAATTAAACTGGGAGAAATAGAGTGCTGCAGGGATGATGACATATTTTTATAGGTCAACCCAGAAGTTAGCATCCCCCGGTTCCCTCGACAAGAAACCAAGAGAAAATAAGCCCTGTGGCCAGGTTAGGCTATAAACAAACTACAGCATGGCTGCATTACCTAAATGCCGTGCATAATTTCAAATTATGCACGACAACTTTCAGTCTTTATTTAATATCTTCAAGATATTAAGCTTGTGTTAACCGTATACAGTACCTTATTTCAGGCATTTAGCCAAAAACCCATTCAAACCGGATGTGCAAATATGCTCATTTCTGCATTTTAGGTCTCATTCCTGCAGCACTCTGTTGTCTATGACTGAATGTTCACGATGAAGCAAGACAAATAAAACAGATGGATAACATTGAGTAGTAGAGGATGTTGGATACTTGGCTGCTGGCACAGTTCAGTGATTCCATGGAAATCTACAGTGATTATTATTTGATTAAGTTCTGAGCTGAAGTGCACAAATGTGTACATATTAAATATTTAAACTATGAGGCAATGTCAGTGGCATTCAGAGCAATCTAGATTAGCATTTCCTCAAACCTGCTGCTTAAATGTTATGCTCCCTGGTCTCTAAGTTATGTGAATAACATTTGTCTAGACCCCAAATTTGTCAGTGCTTAAAAGACTGAGAGGCATTTTTACTTTTGCTTGTTAGAAGGCATTCCTACTTAACTGCTGTATCCTTATATATTATTACTCACCTCACTGTATAGCTATGCATGAAACTAAACTTGAACTAAACACCAACAATGTCTATTGCTCATGTGGCCTCAGATTGCTGAGTCTCATTGAAAATGAATGACATCCGGATGCTTTTTTTTTAGTACAAATCCCTGTCGGTGTGAACATCCCTAAAGACAGCATGTTGAGGAGTCAGACATGACTCATATGAGCTCTGTTCCAAAATCTAGTGAGCTGCTTTGCTGTCTACTGCCTACGTCTGTAGCAACTCTCTAAAGCAGCATCTGTCATAAGTGACTGGTTTAAATAGCTCATAATTGGCAGCAGCTCAGGGACTGAAAACCCAGGGGTGGACCTAGGGTGTAACCAGGGGAGGCCGTGGCCACCATAAAATGAAGTGTGGCCACCCCTTTGACCACTCTGTTCAAACCCCCCTGGTTCCCAGGGATCAATATCCTACAGAGTTCAGCTCCAACCTGCCACAAACATACCTGGCTGAAAGTTTCTAGTGATCCTGAAAATTATGTGTTTAGCTGGTTCAGGTTTGTGTAATAGGGGTTGGAAATAAACTCTGCAGGATGGTGGCCATCCAGGAGCAGGCTGGGCACCCCTGCCTAAAACCACCCTTTCGTGATGCTACCTACTAATGTAGGGGAAGCCAACCCTGCTCCTGGTGGGCTACCCTCCTCCAGACTTCATTTCCAACCCTGCTCCAATACACCTGCCTGCAACTTAAGTAATCCTGAATACCTTGATTAGCTGGTTTAGGTGTGTTTGCTTAGAGGTGGAGCTAAATTCTGCAGGACGATAGCCCTCCAGGAGCAGGGTTGGAGACACCTGTCCTATACTAATCCTTTTCATACGGAAGTAAAAGATACTTTTGTTAAGAGTTGCATTTAAAATGGTTTTGTGAATGTGAAAAGTACTTTAGAAGACAACTTCTAAATTTTGCTGCCCACCTGTTGGAACAGCATTCATGAGTTGACCTATGGTGCCTTAAAATGCCATCATGGTAGACAACTGACTAGGTTTTGGAACAGAACTATGGCCAGTGGTTATGAATGTGTTTTTCATTAGTTGGTTTTGTAAGTTCACCCCGCAGATCGCCAGCAGCCACCATTACCTAGATTTCCACACAGCGGTTACGTTCGCTCACCCTCCTGGACCCGTGGTGGAAAAGGGGAACAGCAGCCGAGAGATCGAAAGCACCACAGTGACTCCGAAAACACAGAGCCAATGTTGAAGATAGAGCGCTCTCAATCCCAGCAGCCTTGAGCTAGGGACAGCTACAGGGGCTTAGGAAGAAAACAAAGCCCTTGTGCGGAAAGTGGAGGTTCCTTCTCAAGCAAGAAGATGAGGAACCCTTGGGATCAAAGGACATGGGGGTCTCGCCTAAAGATAATGCAATCCCTTTGTCCATTATGAACAAGAAGAGCGCTCCAAAAAGCTGGGGTATGTGTAGACTCTTTCTCAAGATGGAACAGACTTCATCCAACTAGGATTTTTGGGACGCCTCTTTGGGACAGAGTTACTTTCAGTCTTCTCCATGTGACTACTGCATATGGAGAAATTGAAGCATGATGTAGCATTATGGACAACACTGGCTCAAGCAAAGTCAATCTAAGGAGTAACTGAGGAATTCCACAGTGATTCGAATCTTCAAGGAACTGTTTAAAGAACAGTGCTATGTATCGAAGTTGCAACTGTGATAAGACAGAGAACCTACAGCATAGCTCAAGACATGGCAATGCAGAGAAGTTACAAGAATTCCCAACAAAAGTGTCCTTCAAGGAGATTCTGCATGAAAATAGGGAGACCCAGAAACAAAGTGAAAAATCTTGTAAAAAAAAAAATCATGCCCAAGGCCTGAAACATACCCTACGCAAGTACATGAACGCAGACACTTTGAGCTACACAAGATTGATTTCATACATCTTTGCATTTCAGAATTTGTCAGAACCTAATTCATATTGCAGTATATTGCACTGGGTTCTCATCTTTACCGACAAGAGGGTGTTGACCTAGTGCAGGGGTAGGCAAGTTCGGTCCTAGAGAGCCGCAGT